GACCGATGTGATGATTATTTCAATGCTGATTTTGAAACCCCCCAAAATGAGAAGCAATGCAAAAAATGCATCTCAACTCAAAAATAATGGCATTCAATGCCAGCGCCAATGAGTCAAATGGTTATAATTGCCATTTTTGACAACTAAACAATTGTCTTTTTCTCTTATATTGGCTTCACTATCACAGCGTCTGTAGTCTTAGTGCTTGTACGAAACTAATAACAGAAAACTAAATTATTTTGCATTGGTTGTCATTTTTAGAGCATCAAATCGATTACTGTTTATCCCCTTGGTTATATATGAAACGACGGTTGTGTAACATTCATTTCGATGCATTCCATTTTGCGTGTAATGTTGAGCAGGCCCAGAAATACGTACTCATCGGGTACGAGTGAACAAAACAAAATGATGAATAAAAAGGGAAAGAACTGCTTTCCGTTCTCCCACTTTGACTATTATTTTGGGAGATATGCTTCTTTCCAAAGTAATTCGTGAGTCGTTTCGCAACTTGCCCGTTTTTCTACGCTCTGTATTGGCATCAAAGCATAGGGAACGAAATAACATGTACCCGAAGATCTCGGCAAAGGACGAAATTAAATGAAAAATTCCTCATTAGGAAGATGGAACTTGAAACAGAAACGATTTATGTGTGTTTCTCATTGGAATTTTGATGAAAATGGACGCATTTGTTCAGATACCCGTGGATAAGTGAAAATTATCAAAGCTGCATAAATAGTATAAAAAATCACAGCGCTTTCGTCTTCTTGTTCGAGTGAAACTCTCCAAAGACTCTAGTAAATTATTATTAGTGTCGTATTTTGCATTCTCATTTGTTAAATTACATCACCCCCCTTTGGCTAAGAATAACTGATATGGCACACAGCTCCGGCTGCGTTTCTGCTCATTTTCTATTTAGTTTGCAATTGGAGAAAATTGTGAAATTGATTATTTTCCAGTGTGAACACAGTGCGTTTAGTTTTTTTTTTATAAATTGAATATATTGTTCGGAGAGTTGGTTTATTGCTGTTCAGGGACTGCGTACACCGTACATATCATACGCACTTCTATACATCATCGAAAGTTATTATGGACTATTGCTGAACAACATCAAATTGGTTCTCCAAAAAATGTTGTGAGAAAAAATCGTCGATACGGCGAGGCACAGCAATACAAAGCAAGGACACATTTCACACTAGCCGAAAAGACTAAACACGCAACACTGTTGAATGTGATGTTGAAAACAATAAAAAAAAGTGTTGAATGCAAACGAAATAGAAATCAACATCCCGCGCTCTATCCAAACAAGTGATGAAACACATAACAGAACAATCAAATTGAAGACAATAACAAACGAAATCGGCACTGAAGTAAAACTCGGGAGAAAGAGAAAGAGAGAAAAAAGTGTTGCTACAAAGTTTTCCGCTTTTTATTGAGAAAAACTTTTCCGTTTTTTTCGATCATTTTATCAAACTCGTTTGTTTGTTTTTTTGCATACTGGTGGGTGGAGAAAGAGAAGATGAGAAAATTTGAACACGGGGCCGAAAGCAACGAAAAAAACAAAACTTCTTTTCAACACCGACTACTGATAAAGTCTTCACTAGAGAAAAAGATAAACAAAAGGAGAAAGAGAACGAGTCAACATTCCGTGTAAACATTTAAAACAATCATGTTCAAAACAAGCAGGGTTGCCAAAAGTTTCAATTCGAAAAAGAAGAAAACTGCGACAGGGACGATTCAAATGCAAATTTGTTTCTGATGTAGAAAACAGTTATCTGAATTGCTGTCATAATCTCATTCATAAGGTGATATTTTGAACCAATAAACCTTTTGTGTACTTGCCAAAAAAAAAGTTTTTTTTTCACATGCTTTCATTAATGTATGTTCTTTATTGATACATTTTATTTACATGTTATTGTAATGCTTATTCAGATCGAAGTAAATATACTGATGACACAAAAGTTTTTTTTTGTTCGAATATTACTATGAAGTGGGCAATGTACTATACGGCGTATAGTACTACGAGCAAGAAAACACAGGTGAAATTTCCCGCTGGAACTGATTGCAGAAAACAATGCTAGTGATGATGGTGATGTGTTGTTGGTAACATGAATTTAATATATGCTTTAGCAAATGTATGAATCTTCTGTGCATGGGCATTGAATGGCGAGCGTAACATGTTTTATGCGTCTATGTGCATGAAAGAGATTGTTAAAATGTGCCAACGCCGCCGCCACCACCACCATTGCCTGGTGGCGATGGTGGTGCCTGCAAACGAAATAAGAATGTGCACATCAGTGGTAACGGCAGCGACAGCAGCAGCCCAAATGAATAATGTGTCTTATGGGAGCAAAAGGGTATTTATATTGCCAGCCAATACATTGTTATCTATTCGCTCAGGCGAGTGAATAAGTAAAAATTGCGAGCGAACGATGACGGTGGAGTCGACGAAGGCGGTTAGCGCAAATTCGACTCATTCTGGATTTGGGGGTATGGAATTTTTCAACAAAAAAAGACGCATTCTCAGCATTAGAATTTGACTAAAGATAAAAACGGAGAGCAACAACAACAGCAACAGCAACAACAGCATCAGGAATATCGACTAAAGCATCAGCTAAAATGTGATTGAACCGACACTCCATGAGACTCATCCCAAACTCGGCTCTGCTCAGTGTTGCCACACATGTATACATATATGTATATAAGTAAGTTGATGCGAAGCCAAACTAAGCGACAAGAGATCCTTGATAGGGTTGCTTGGATACTATATTCTCTTTCGGTTTATGTGCGTTGTGTACGAGCAGAGCATACATATGCATGGTTGTTTGCGTGTTTCTTCCGTAAAATGTATAAAATATATTTTCAATACACGCTCCGGTACTATCGCTCTGCGATTTCCATATGAAACCATTTTTGGTATTAAAGCGAGAGTATCGCTCGTTCTATTCGCTTTTCTCTTCGATTTGCTGCTGGCTCACGTACATCAAGAAGAAAAGGCATACATGTTTCGAGCAACTATGAACTCTATATCGACCATTCCACACGAAATCGACCAAGAATTGGATCGACCATCTCAGAATTGGCTGAAAATTTGCACGGAGTCTGGTTTTCGGTAGAAAATGAGAAAACCACAATGTTAGGGCTGTAAGTGGCCTACATTTCCGAGTTCACCCAGTGTAAATTTGTCGGAAAATTGAAAAAATCGAAAAAATTAGTTTGCGTCAACTGAAAACTAACTGAGAAGTAGTTGACACATTGCCAAGCCACTGGTATTGGGGCCAAGGGGGAAATCACTCAAAAGTAATACCAAATAGAAAAGTAATACCTCAGTTATTTCTAGTAATACCTCTGGTATTACTTTTGATATTTCTATGAAAAAAGTAATACCGAAAAAAAGTAATATCCAAGTAATACCAAGTAATACTGATCAATAGAAGTAATACACCTGGTATTTCTTTTGATTTGTACGGAAAGTAATACCAAGTAATACCATTTATGTAAAAGTAATACCTAAGAGTGATTTGCCCCTCGATTGGGGCTCTCAAAAATCGGTATATTTTTGTTTGTTTCGTTAAAAAATAAAATCCATTTACATTGGAAAACAGAAGAAGGCATTTTTGAAGTAAAAAAAGTGATTTGCTGCATGTAATATTACGAGTTGAAAACATAAGCTGGAACAGGGTCATTTTTTGAACTTTTAGACCAATCAGACAAGATTGAAATAAGTCTAAGCAGTTTTCTCAGATCAAAATGTCGTAGGATGGCATTTTTGACCATTTAGCCCAGAAAAACGCTTAAAAATGAGATATGATTCACCTTCCGAGGACAAAAAAAACGATTTTGGTGCTAAGGCCAAACTAAAAACGATGGTATTACAGAGGTTTTGAACTGTCTGTTTTGTGCGGCTCCACATGGGCTATCTTTTGACGTAAAGAAAACGTGCCGAAAAACCCCACTCTTTCGGGATATTTCTCTTTTTATACTTTGAACCCATTTTTGAACCCATTTTTGAAACTATTTTTGAACCCATTTTTCATACTTTGACCCCAATGGGGTCAAAGGGAGTAGGTGACTTCGCGGTTTTTATAGCCCCATCAATTCTCTTCCCAACGGTACCAGTGGCTTGGCAATGTATCAACTACTTCTCAGTTAGTTTTCAGTTGACGCAAACTAATTTTTTCGATTTTTTCAATTTTCTGACAAATTTACACTGGGTGAATTCGGAAATGTAGGCCACTTACAGCCCTAACATTGTGGTTTTCTCATTTTCTACCGAATTCAAGACTCCATGCATATTTTCTGCCGATTCTGAGATGGTCGATCCAATTTTTGGTCGATTTCGTGTGGAATGGTCGATATGTATATTCATATTCGATAGGCAATTTACACTTTACACCATGCCATAAATTAATGAATAGGTAGGTATATTTGAATATTTTGGAAGTATCATTAAAACGCTTACATGCGGTAACATTATCAAAAACAGCAGCAACAGCAAGAACAAAAAAAAGAAGAAATAAACGATGAAGTGGTAAAAAAGCAGCACCTGTGTTAATACATCAAGAGATTACTCAAAATAGAAAATTTTTTAATGGAAAAATAGTTTCCGAAAAATAAACGAAAACTCCCAAAAAAAGGAATTTATTTCTAGCTTCGTTCAGTGTTTTCCTTGGTTTCATGCTGTCAATTCACACGTGGATGCAATAGATTGGGATATGGTTCTACTTTGTCCCTCGTTTATACAACATGGACGACATAAGCATGCCCATTCCAGCAAGACAAATAAACTACACAAAAGATTGATACTTTCGAGATTCAAAACGCATGATGGTGGAAATTTAAAATAAAATCAATGATTAAAATTTAGATATATTTCCTGTTTGAACTTACCTTTCATAGATTCTCAGAAATTACCTAAAAACTCCAAATTATTTGTTGGATTCTCGGTTGAATTGGTGCCCACTGCCTGAAATATCAACTTATCATTTCACAGAGTACAATTATTTTTATTCAAAAATTATGTATTTATATTTGTTTTTATTTTGCTTTGTAATAAACATTCAATCGTGATGTTGCAATGAATTGGTTTCATTTTTCTTATTATTGCAATGGATGAATATGAAAATCATATTAATTAATATATCAAATCAAAAAAAAATTTCTCATAGCAATCTGATTAAATTTGACTATGAAATCAATTGTATCAGTTCTCTATACATTTGAAAAAAAAAATTGTTTCGTTGGCAGTAATTGAATATATCAAGATATTCTGAATCAAACTGCATTTTGTGAGCAGTTTTGGTGGTTGTTTTTGAAAATGTATGGACAATTTATATTTTCATTGTGTTTGTGGTGTTATTAGAAAAAAACGTCCTTGTCTAATGAAGATCGTTGTGTTTATCCGGTCGAGTTGACAATTCGGAGCAAGCGGACTTCAGATACGTATTAAATGGGGAACTGTCAATTGTTTAAAAACTCGACGATTAGCTAACGGCAACAATCAATGAAATGTTGTGTTGACAATGAGGGCAAATTTTTAACAACATTTTCTATTGACCGTACGTCATTTGTTTTAGGCTAGAAAAATTAAAGAAGAAAGAAGTGCTGTAATTATTTATAAAACTTCATCAAATGCTTTGTTCTTTCTAGAGACTTTTTGTATCATTAAATTATCATTGAACTAACACAGCGAATCGTGTAAACGGGCCACTGTAAAAATAAAAACAGTAATTTTTTCCCCAGGACAATCAATCCATCATTGCAAGAAATATCGTGAAATAAATAAATAAATTAAGAATTTGCATGAACTCTAAAAACCTGGGGTTGATGTACATTACAAATGAGTCATCAATGTTTGAATGCATCGCATCCACAATTCTGTCTAATAAATGAAATTGTGTTTGGGTATGTGTGTGTGTGGGTGTGGGAGGATATTCAAGTTCAGTCATGCTTGCCATTTTCCTTGCTTTTTATTTTGTAAACCGTTGTCATATTTTCGTGATTGTACCTAGGTGCCTTCAATCGCAATGCATCCAAATATTTCAAATCGATAAGTTTTTTTTATTTCTCTATAAAAACAATCACGTGCTGACAATCGCACATGAAAATAAATATAAATCGAAAGTGATTTGGTTGTATTGTGTCTTAATAAAACATTTATCATATGCATATAATTTGATAGCAATCAAATGTCCAAGAAAATTTGATCCACTTTGATTAAACGATATATACGTGAGTGTCTTATGTTTGTTTCCTTATTTCCATTTTAAAATTTGATTCATTTCTTGTCAGTAATAGCAATAATATTATAATTATACGTCAATGGATGTATTCTATTTCCCTTTCCTATTAATGTGCTCGATTTAATTTATAAATTGATTTAAAAATGCATTCCATCAAGAATTTCTTTTCCATGGTGTCTCTGCGTATCGTATGCAGATTGTTTTAATTTTAATAAAATAATAATTAAATTTTATCACGCACAATTTTTTTTTCCTCTCACTTCTATCTTTCGGCTGTGTGTCATTCCATCCCGTATCAGCTAGCTTTTGACATCACGTGTCGTCGTTATTATCGTTGCCATCGTCGAAGCTATTCGGCTCTAGCTGACATATTCTCCAAGTAAAAGAATGAATGCCAGCCTGGGCTGCTGTCAACAAACACTGCTGCTCCATACCGCTTCGGTTTATCGTTCTTTCGTTCGCTTCATCCTTAATCAACGCAACGTTTTGGCATTTATCAATACAAACAAGTACATCGTCGGTCTAGGCAATTCATTGGCCGCCCACCCACTCATGCACCATATAACAGTTTTTTACAGATACGTATTTTCATAAAATACAAATGCACCGCGTGAGTGTGGCATCATCTCACTTCGGCAATGTGTCGGCGAAGTTGTGTTTCTTCTTAACTTGTTTTCTTTCTAATGTGGATTTGCGCTGTTGCTGGGCGCCTCCTTTGATTCTCATTTCCAAGCCCAACAGAACAGTGTACACATTGCTACAGTGTTTGAATGTTCAATTCCGGTATTTTATCGGTACCGATATTTATGCTGATATTTTTTTTTATTGTTGTTGCTATTTTTGCTGTATTCATTCACACTCGGTATTATTTCTTAGTTCGTGTTTTATTTCTAACTGCGTGAATCATTACTTTCACTATAGCTTTGTTCACTTGACTCTCGTCTTGAGGTGGCCGATGTCATTTGTTTTGGTTTGTATTCGGTGATGACAACCGTCACCGAGTTAACGGTAACTTCACGCGTCTGGGCCGAGGAGCGATCGACGTTTGTTAAACGGGCCGGATACTTTTTGTGTTTTGTCTTCGAACGTGACATTTTTGGTGGTTTTGGATTTGTTGTGTTTGTGCCATTTGGAACACCCGATGCACCAGCTTGCTGAGCTACTAAGGCCGAGTTAAGGCGAGGTTTTCGCGTCGATGTACCTATTTATGTACAGTAGGAGAATGCAAGAGAGAGAGAGAGAGAGAGAGAGAGAGAGAGAGAGAGAGAGAACGAGAGAAAGAGACAAAATATAAATATTCAATGTGAAAATGCTAACGGAAAATTCTAATTATAATCAGTTGCTACGCATGTCGGTGAATGCTCAATATTTGGATATCAAACGAAAGAGGAGATTGTTTGAAAAAATTATCGATTTTCTGGAAAGTGAATCGCCGCTTTCGATGTACTTTGATTGTAGAATGAATCGGATGAATAAGCAAAATTCATTTAGTTCATTGTGTATCATTCAAATGATGCACTGGTGGAAATGAAATGAAAGCACGTAGAAAAGGATTTCACTTATTTTTATTTTGTGCACGCATTTGTCGTTCAATAGAGATAAGTTGAAAGCTGAACGAGAGCAATGACACCCCGTTCATCACCTCCGTGTTTTATTGGTTCTGTCACAACGAAAATATATACACACTTTGATATTGAACGCTTGAATCCACTGAACACACACACTGAATGCATAAACAACTTTTTAAGCATTAAAATTAGAGTAATTTTGATTGTTCAACACTATTTTGGCCAATTTGTTTGTTTTGAAAACTTGTACTGAAAAAAAAGCCCGAAGAAAAATTCTTCTGTGGAAAAATCAAAATACTTGCCTTTTCTGACGTCGCAAAGTAGACACTTGAAGGCTTCAGCCGAATTTCGATAAGTACAAACACTACAATCCCAAAAATTATCCTCTAACACTTTCGATTGACGTTTTTGACGACGAATTGGTGATTTTTTATGATCCATTTCGATAATAAAACTATCGCGAAAGAAATTATAAAATCGCGACGTTCTGACATTGTTAGGCGGCCATATTGAAAATTGCTATACATATGCACGACAACGATGGCAAAAGCAACAACAACAACAACGACGACGACAGCAGCAACGGCAATCGATACGTCAGGCAAGACCGAGCGAGAGAGAGAGAGATAGAATGAAAACGACAACGACTGGATGTATGCAATTGGAATGTGTTGGTCGGTTTTTATTATGGGATACACACTTGTTTTTATTGAAAAATTGTGCAAATCTTCGTTTTTCTCGTTTGTCAAATCAAATGATTTCTTAAATCAACCACAAATTTCTGTTTACGTTCCACTCTTTTCAACTGCTGCTCTTTCTTATCTTTTCCATTCTCTTTTGACTCGGTTGCCAAATACACAAAAATATTTACTTCGTTACTTCGACTGCTTGCTCTCTCAGCATATACATATTGAAATTGGATTGGAGTGAAACAAGCGAGTGTATATACTGAATCGGGCTTGTTTATGTGTTAGTGCAAATGTGCCGGTCTCGTGTATGCGTGTTGTACGATGTGAAAAAAAACGCCACATAATACTGCTTCAGCCATGGCAGCAACACAGACAAGCACATACAAACACGAACACGCACATATACGCACATACACATACACATACATATCCATCACATTCGAATGTGATGTCGCTATACCCAACAATGTATATACATTATACAAATATATGTATAGATGTTTTTATAATTCGGATTTTCGAATGAATGGTTGGTTGGTTGTACTGAATGCAAGCTCAGCTAAACAACGACGATGACGACGACGACGATGAGCTTTGCAAAAATGCTCTCTCCATAAAAGAAACTCCATCCTTCTAAATTGAAACTCCACGCCGTAATGGAAATTAAAATAAATGCTTTCAATTTATTGTAAAAGTTTGCGTTCACAATTTACTTTGACATGTGTAACATTGACACGGTATTCATGTTTCATCCGCAGGGAAGCGCCTTTTTTCGACGGAAACTAGAATCAGATGTCAAAAAGTGTTTTTGATCCATTTCCTGTGGCTGTTCGCCGTCCTGAGTCATTTTCGAGTTGCATGCAAATATTTATAACAAGCATCAAATAGAAATTTCCATGAAATACATACATGCTGTGGCCCTGTGGCGGCATAAACATGAACATGAACAACACGCAATGCTATTCTTGAAATTTAAAATGATGAAAAAAAAACTGTAGAATGTAGGAACAAATTTAAAACGCTGGCTATGCAGTTCGGATAGCATGGATCGAAGAAGGTAAAAAAATTCATTGGCCCAAATCAATCTGAGGTCGAAATTTGCATACTACTGCAGACTGCAGTAAAAATGAACATCACTCATTGTTGAACAAAAAACGTGAAAAATAACAATATCTAATACTTACGATGAATGAATAAGAATGTTTTTGGAGCTGTAGCTATTGCAAAACCAAAGAAATTACTAGATTTTTTTATTGCGTTTTGTTCTCCTTTTTGTTAACGTTAGTACAAAAAAAATAAGGACACAATACATACATAATGTCATATATGTTTTGAGCCTATTGATGTAGGCCCTCAACATTGTGTAGAAATCTTTTTCAATGAATTGTATTTCAATCGATGTGAATTGGTTTTCTTGAATTCCAAAAAGTTAGAATAGGCACGATTCTGCAATGAGATTGTTTAAATACATATGAAACGGAGTACAGAAGGAAAGAACATGGCATTTTTTTAAATGACAAAAAAAATGACAAAAGATCATTTAATTTGCACGTCGAATGGTATTCGCGAATAAAAGGCATATGTTCATTTGAGCGTCACGGTGTTTTTTCTCCTTTTATTTTATTGCGCGCTCAATGAAAACAAAAAACGACTGACGACAAGAACTTGAACCATTACATTTTAGATAATTTTTTTTTCTTTTATGATCAATTCCGTTCTTCGAACTTGTATTAATTCCATTTTTGACGTGCTTACTATGCTACTCTCTTATGGAGTGTTTCAAAAAACGCTACATGGCTCAGTGCAGCTGAAGAAGCAGAAGGAAGAAAAAAGAAATCGATGCAGGGTTGTTTCTAAATGAATTCGATGGATGGATGGCGTTGTGAGTGAGAGAGGGAGAGTGCTGAAGGAAATCAGAAATTAAAAAAAAACTATATATATAAAGAGAAGACTGAAGAATGAAGAATACAGAGAGAAAGAAATTCAAGAAAAATAAAAAAATCAAGCACGATAGTGCGTCGGATGAGATAAAACCCGATGTACGTACTCGTATTCGATATTTATGTAAGACAGTGAGCAGAAATACGCTTGTACATTCACAATTTTAATACCATGTCTCCATGTATTAATGTTCGCCGGATGATTTATGTCATTCGAAAGGGATCTATCTGTCTGTTGCTGTTGTTGTTGTTGGTGTATTTTTTTTTCGTTTCAACTATAGTCAAATATTGCAGTGTACGCGCGTTGAGAGAATTATTTTAATGTCGGAAGAAACAAAGAAACATCCGAAGACGACACATAAAAAAATCGGCAATGAACAGCAACAACAGAAGCAGCAAGTACAGAGAGAGAAAACAACAACCAAATGAAAATAAATACACTCGCTCACTCACTCATACTTGCGTCCATGCTGTATTATATAGTAGTCGTTCCCAATCGGGCGGCATGCATTTGCCAATTGAATGGAGCAGGCTCTTCGAGACATTCGAACACTCATCTTTGGCTTCTTGCTTTCATCTTTTGTTTTGTGTGTTTGGCTTGTTTTTCTCGCTCATAGAGGCAATATGGAATGTGATTTTTCGAAAAGAGATGTTTTCATTTTCATTAATGTTTTTTGCTGTCGATGTCACTCTCTGTCGAACTCAGATCGCTTCAGGCCCTGCTACTTGTTTTTTTTTTCTAATGTTTCAGTTTCATTGTTCAACGGCCGTTTATTCCCATTGTTCTCACACCTTTTAGCTTCGTCGTCGTCGTCATCGTCATCGTCGTCGTCATCATATGCGCATTCATTGCAAACCGCTCATACTTTCTCAGCCAAACACACAAAGCACACACTGCTGTGGATCTGTTTATTTTTCCCGTTGTTCTTTTCCATTATCAGTTACTTGATAAGAGAAAAGTTTTCGTCGTTGTCAACGTTTTTCTTTTCGACATTCGGCATCTCGCGTTGTTACAGCAATGTTCGGCTCCATTCCAAATACCACACACATCAGACCGAACCGCACCATACCACACCACACCACAGCACACCACATCACACCACACCGTGCCACATTCTCGACCCCAATGAGAAAAATGTAAAATGACGTTCGCTCATTTGGTATCACATAAACACAATACAACTCAACAAAAACCAACAAGAGCCCTGTGTGACTACGGCCAACGGACGCGCACCAGCAGCAACAGCAGAAACCACGAAATATATTCACGATAAACTTATCAGTTGTACAAAACAAATATTTGTCTTCATCACACTGGTAAAAACTGTGGAGTTTGCTCATCGAGCAACAGTGCTGAGCAACAGCAACAACAACAAAAAATAAATTCATTGTTGTTCACATTTTTAAATAAATGTTTGAATGTTCAAACTATAATATTCAGCATTGAATCCCAACTCAAAGACCCTATTGGATCAATTTTGAATTATGCGTATTCTACTCATGCTTCTATCCGTTAATGGCACCCAAATCTACCGACCAACGCAACACAAACGTGGTGTGTGGAATTATTATTAAGTTAAATTTTGATGCCATTTTGCATATTGTATTAAATATTTTTTTACAGCAGGACGTACAACTGTCATCACTTCCACGACCAGCATTTAAAAAAATGTTCTACATGTGTGTGTTCTTCTCTACGCGCTGATTGAAGTAATAATGAAATATGATATGCAATAAATTTTTGAATATCAGCCACTTGCTGCTGCTGCTGCTGCTGCTTATGCATATATATTTGACCAAAATCGCGATTGTACATGCAAAATTATGGCGGCGAAAATAACTAATTGAAATATTGACCGTATTTACAGAATATTTTTTCCCCGTATTTTCTCACTCTTTCTCTCATCACCCCTCCTCTCTCCCCGTGGTCGAACAAAGCTTTGCCGATAAATACGCGCCATTTTTCATTAATACCGATGCCAGAGAATATATGCATGTGCATTTTGCATGTGTATTTTAAATGATTTGAATCGCAATTGGGCCAAAAAACTGTGGCAATTTTTTTCTGTTCACAATGCCTCGGGATAAGGAGCGGTTGGTCTTGCTGGTGACTGGCAAAATTTTCGAATAGGATTATAAATTTCGTCGATCTAATATGGTGCATACAGGCTGTGCTCTTTCTGCAAATGCGTCGCATTCATTGTAAATATATCGAAGAATGTGAAGAGGTCTACTGTACGTGATGACGATGGGCTAGGCAGCAAGCACAAGCGCTCATTTCCCATTTTACATATATTGTATATTTAAAATAAGTGCAAAAAACTGGAATGTACCTCTAACATTATCGCATTGCTTGGGCGTGTATTAAATGCATTTCCATTCGTTTGATTTCGTTTTTATTTAATTTTATGTACACATTACATATGAACTGCTGAGAATATTCCTTGAACAAGTGTCGATGCTTAGTTAAATGTGGAAATTGGAAAAAGTTGTATGAAATAGCGGAACAAGTGTTGTTATAATCACGGCTTAAAAATCCCCGAAAAAATTATTTTTATGTACTACTTTTGCGTACAAATGTTTCAAGATTGATATTCAACAACGCATCCAAACACGTCCACCAAATATTCTCAGCAGTTCATATGTATGAAATTATTTTTTTGTGTTGTTGTTGTTGTTATCTCTGGTCGATAATTTTATGTTTGCACAGCGTTTTTCCGGCTTTGTTTGCACTCAATTTTTCTCTGCCATTTGAATCGATGCACCCTAATGTACAATGAAATAGTGTTCAAATGGCGTAATATAACAGCACGCTCCTTGCAAAGAGCCGATTTTTTGCCGTTGCATTTTATTTAATATTGTTTATCTCGTTTCTCCAACATTTTGGCCATATAAGCATATCACGCACGCACGCATGCACATACAAATTTTACCTTTAGATAAATTAAATATTAACAAAAATGAAAATATGAATAATTTATGTAATTTGTAAAAATCACGGCATATTTTCACTCATTTAAAATACGCAATGCGTTAATTTAGATTGAGTTTAACGCCAAAAATAATGTTTTCTTTTCGTGGGCATGGAGTAATACTCCATAGGAGTATTTTTTTCCATATTCAAAATGAAAATTGTAAATTCATTCTGGCAAAATAAAAACGTACACATTAGGATTTATATTCATCCAACAGCAATGAATGTATACACATGTGACTATAGTCACCGCTGAGGAGAATTTTTGGCCCCATTCTTGGCACGGAAGTTTTAGGAATGAATCGGGATACTTGT